ATATATATATATATACAGCCTAAACTTTGATCATTTGCATCAAAGAGACCATTGCATCAAAGAGACCATTAATAAAGATAGTTTTGCTGCTAATGCGTTAAAATGATTCATGTCAAAAGCAATAATGAACTATAAAGACTAACTTTATAATGATACATTGAATATTAAACACAAGTCCAGGCTTACCTGAGCAGAGGCTCCTGTTGTTTCTGTGAAAGCTGACTGTGTGAGGGTGGTGTGTGTTGTGGCTTCTCAGTTCTGCGATTTACTGTGAAAAGCTGATGTAGTAACAGGAGGTGCGGTATGGTTGTAAAAAAAAAAGTTAGAGGAAGCGTTGAGCAAATAGGAGGAGGCGGTTTAGCTTCAAAAAGTTAGCTTACTTTCTGTACGATAACGGGATCGATATAGACAAGGACCATTTAAAACGCCATGTTTACTATAAATAAACTATTGGAGTTAAATACAATGAGAAACAAATTGTTAAAACTTAACTTGCGCAGTTTTATTCTTTGATATTTTATTGAATAAGTGGCTCATCACTATTCAACGATGGTGCGTTTTCGTGTCATTTGAAATTTCAGAATTTCACTTCTCTCCCACCCCGATGTTTTATTAACTAGACTTTCCAAAAACAGGTAAATCAGAGCATTGATACATTTTTTCTTTGTGTAATTTAGGTTAGCTTTAGTTACTCAACATTTTATGTTGTTTAATGCATCATTTAATTTATTTACCTTTCATATGAGTTTCAACAGCCTGTTTGTCCCAACGATAGTGAAATTTCTGATGGCACCTAAAAGCAGCAGGTTATCGTTTTTATTGATCCGCTTGCGTATTTTTTTTCCTTAGAGCTCTTTTCATTTTGTGCTTTATTTTATTGTAATAATCTGCTATCATATGAAAAAAATACTGCCAAAAACAGATGTTGAATCACAAATATGTGATTTTTGTTTCATTTTTTTTTTTTGTTTCCCGCAGGGTTTACTTTTTTAACTTGTGGGCTTCCGTAGATGCGGAAGTCTTGTTTCACAACTGAGTGTCCGTGCCCGGCGTGACATTCACCGCTGTGTCAGCTGAGTTKGGGTTGTGTTGAAGTGTCCAGCCAAAATGAGAATACTGAAATCTGGTTTGTGTTTGACTAAATCGCAGCTTTTTGCACCAGGAAGCGTCACGCTTAAAAAGGTAAACATCAAATGACGAACATCACTTTACATACATGTTTCTCAAAACCAGGCTCTAAATTTGTCTGTTGTTTTTTTTTTTTTAACTTAGGTGCTCATTAATAGCTGTCGGACGTGCTCTTCTGTTGTCTTCCCCAACGAGAGGATTCGTAACATCGGTATCTCGGCTCACATTGACTCAGGGAAGACCACCCTGACTGAGAGGGTCCTCTTTTACACTGGCAGGATAGCAGAGATTCATGAGGTGAGCACCTGGACGGGCTGTACTTTTGTCTCTGTTGAGTTTTTTTTTTCTCCCAGGTGAGGTGAGCAGGCTGCTGTCATGTCCTCCTCTGTCTGTGGTGTGTAGGTGAAGGGGAAGGATGGTGTTGGAGCCACTATGGACTCCATGGAGCTGGAGAGGCAGAGAGGCATCACCATCCAGTCAGCAGCTACATACACCATGTGGAAGGACCACAACATCAACATCATTGACACGCCAGGTGATAGAGCTGTGCTGAATCCAAACACCCAGAGGATCTGTTTCTTTTGATTTGTTGACAACAAGAGCACCCTAAACACTACCCATGACTTTGCTGATGAAGCCTAAAGCTAAAAAGTCAAAAACTAGATGCAAGKTAAACATAGCAAAGTGCTAATTAAAGCAAGAAAAGCAGAAACACTCGCTAATAGCAATATGTGAAAAAATACTAACTAAAAACTAAATGTAAAAAAATCTAGGGAAAAGTAACAAAACCCTAGTTAAAAGCTTAAAGTAGCAGTGTAATCTCTAAAAGCTAAAACTAGGATAAGGCTATTTAAAAACTAGAAGGAGCCAGCTGGAAGCTGACAGCAGCAAAACACTTGAAAAAAAAGAGCAAAACTAGTTAAAAGATAAAAGTAGCAGATCAACTGCTAAAAGTAGCAAAAGCTATTTAATTTAAAAGCTAAAAAGAGCAAAGGCTGACAGTAGCAAAACACAAAGTAAAACAGTTCAGCTCTAGCTAAAWGTCAAATATAGCAAAGTACTATCTAAAAGCTAAACAAACTCACTAAAAGATGAACGTAGCAAAGGCTAGCTAAAAGTAACAAAAGGCTAGCTACAAGCTGAAAGTAAGTGTTTGTTAAAAGTAGCAAAAAGTTAGATAAAATTTAAAATCAGTTTAAGACAAAACTAGAGCAAGTTTGCTGAAGACGATTTTAAAGAGAAGAGATCTCAGTGTTTTTCTATTGAAAAATAAATTCGAAAACCAAGGTGAATATCCTGATGAAGCACTTAATTCTTTGCTTTTAAGAAAGATCTCTTAAAACAAACATGGTAAGTAAAGTGCTTCCGTTAAACGTGTTTACAATGAAAAGATTTATTTATGTTTAGGCTGYCATAAAAGTTTGTTTGTGACAGATTCTTAAAATCAGTTTTTGTAAAGGTTAAACCAAACAGGCTGATGTTTGAACCTGAACAGTGGAACCGTTTATTGACCAAACAGGTTAAATATTGTACAAACCTCTCTTTGATGAGGGGGGAAAAATGTTGTGACATCAACTTCCCAGTGGACCACCATTATCAACCAATCATCAGTCCTAAATAACGTGTTCACAATCAGTTTCAGCTACTTCCCCATCAAACTTTAGCTCAACATCTTCAGACTGGACTGAGATGTGGCTACTTTTGTGTATTAGCATCAGCTACCGAAGCGTCATACTGCTGTGTGTTTCTCAGGTCATGTGGACTTTACCATCGAGGTGGAGCGAGCGCTACGTGTGCTGGACGGGGCAGTGCTGGTCCTGTGCTCGGTGGGAGGCGTCCAGTGTCAGACCATAACGGTCAACAGACAGATGAAGCGCTACAATGTGCCCTTCCTCTCCTTCATAAACAAACTGGACCGACAGGGAGCCAACCCGGTCCGAACCCTGCAGCACCTGAGGTACGGCGTGTTTTTTTTTTTGTGCGCTCTCAACACGCAGCAGTCGTCCAGGTGGACGTCTGTAAACAAGTGGCTTTGTTTTCCAGATCCAAACTGAACCACAACACYGCGTTTGTGAACATCCCAATGGGCCTGGAGGGGAACATGCGTGGCATCATCGACCTCATAGAAGAGCGCAGCGTGTWTTTCGATGGGCCGTTTGGGTGAGAAAGCCTCAGAATATTATGGTTTTTTTTTTATCTGACTAAACGAAGGCTCCAGAAGAATTTGTCAGTGACACATGTAACGCAAATAAAAACAACATCTGAAGTTTCATCCTCCCTGCAGTCAGACCGTCCGCTACGACGAGATCCCAGCAGAATTTCGAGCTGAAGTTGCGGACCGAAGGCAGGAACTGGTGGAGTGTGTCGCTAATGCCGATGAAACTTTGGGCGAGATGTTCCTGGAGGAGAAGTTTCCCACTAAGGACGAACTCAAGGTTCGTTTCATCAATGGGGGATTTATTTAAAGAGTCGCCAAATGAATTTTTGTGCTGTAAATCTGTGTTCATGTTCAATATCAGTTGGCAAACACTTTGATGTTTAACAGGTGTATGGCTACGTTCACACTGCAGGTCTTAATGCTCAGTTCAGATTTTRTGAAAAAATCCGACCTTTTTGTGTGAACGTTCACGTTACATTTTAAATGTGACCTGRATCAGACCCSTGTGTGAACGCWKCACAGCACTGATGTGACARGCATGCGCAGTAAAAGACGTGACGTCTCATCAGCCGGCTTGTTTGTTCACAGAGCTAGCATGGATGCTACATTTTACACATCGAATCAGAAGTTGTTGTTTAATCAGAGCCTATTAAATAATTATCTGACCTGCTTCTTTAGTTCAGTGTTTATATCTGAACCTGCCTCTGACGGGGATGCTCCAGTGAAGCTTTTTTTTTTTTTTTTGAACGAAACTACGAGCTGGAAATAAAGTATCGACCGAGTAGCTAACTTTAGGATCGATACTCTCCGCGACCCAGGCTGGTCATCGTTATTATCAAACTATCTACGTGGAAAATGGAAAGTAAAAAGATGAAGCAACTGGACTTGTGTTTTGGAGCTGTAAACACATGGAGCTACAGATTTAAACAGCGAGACTTCAGGTTAGTGTCTTATCGATCCTTCACCCCCTCCTCACTGATGAAAAAGTCAGATGAATGTGACATGAGCGTTCACACTGCAGTCACTTTGAAAACATCAGATATATATCCAATTTAAAACCACATACTGAAACGGCCTGGGTCGGATTTGAAAAAATCGGATTTGTCTCGTTCAGACTGTCATAAAAAAATCGGATATGAGTCAGATGGGTCAAAAAAATCAGATTTGCCTGCAGTTTGCCTGCAGTGTGAACTGTTTAATATTTTCACTAATTGAGATTATTTGATTTGATTTGATTTGATTTGATGATGACTTTATTGTCATTGTATGGAGCGCAATGAAATTACATTTAAGAACACCCGTTCAAGAAGACACACACATGACAAAAAGATGGGGGAACAGGTCATGCGGCKACTGGCAGGGGTCGCGTTACCTTTAAAAAAAAAACACACACACACAAGGGTAGATGAGGAGCTCTGCCATGAGGAAGTTTGGCTTAAAGACACGTCCCAGGGGTGTTTCTGTTACCAAAAGGTGTTTCTGGTCCCCACCTGTCGTTTTGCTCCTCTGCATGGCTTCCTGCAGGATCTCTCAAACATGCATGAATGAGTCAAAGCAAGGCTTTGGGCATGTTTTTTATGAGAGTATAACATTGTAACATGATACAAAACTCAAAAAAGTTGATTTTACATGATATTGCCCCTTTAAAAAGATTGTTTTGCACGTTTGACATTATATTCTTTAGATGCTTTTAAATCTTCAGTTAAAATTTATTTTTATTCTTTGACCTTTGTCAAAAATAAATGCATATAAATATATACTTGTGTATATTTAGAATTTAAACTTTAAAGTCAGATTAGTCTTTAATCTCTAAATTCTGCTTTTTATTCACATCTTAGCATTCTGAATTTAATCTCAAATCGTTTTTGTTTTAATATTCACGACTCTAATCTCAGAATTTTTACTATTCTTGGTTTTTTGAAACAAAATGGTTTCAATGTTTTATTTGTATTTGAGGAGTTTTTAAGAGTTTTCAAGAGTTTTATGATTCAGTCAACAATGTAAATAAACACCAAAGCCTAAAGTATTTTCTGTGCTGATAAATAATGTATTTGGAGCTAAATTACAAAAATATTTAAAATTTTAAGAAACTCCAACAGGTAGTTTAGTTTTAATCAATGCCATCTTCAACACCTGGTCAGCTGTTTTCAGCTTAGTTAAACGACTCTGTCCAACTTTTATGAGATGTTTTTCTGCCATAAAATTCAAAATTTCTATTTTTTAAAAATGGTCCAATTTCAGGATAGTTCATTCTGTTTCGTTGTGAATAAAACACAAGTTTAGGTAARTAAATTCTGTCTTTATTTACATTTTATACACAGCTTTTTCAGAACTGGGGTTAGGACTAAAAGGTTTTTTATTCTCCTAATTTAAGTTGTGAATAAAGCGGATTGTATTTCCCTGCGCTCTTCCTGTCCCGTCGTCCTGCAGGCGGCGATCCGTCGAGCCACGTTGAAGCGTCTCTTCACCCCGGTGCTGGTGGGCACGGCGCTGAAGAACAAGGGCGTCCAGCCTCTGTTGGATGCCATCGTGGACTACCTGCCCAACCCGAGTCAGGTCAAGAACTACGCCATCCTGAATGAGGAGTGAGTGTTTACAGGGASACAGTCAGGAACATGAGCGATGACGATGTTGAATATTGCAGTGAGACGATCAGCTGCTGGAAACCCAACATTTTCTTCACTTCTCTTTTTCTGCTCAGTCAGCATGARGGGAGAAAATGCAAGAAATGATTGAAATATTCTGCAGCTGGAGACTCTTCAGACTAAATAAACATGAAATTTAGTTTTCTGTCTTGTGAAACTCTAATGTTTGGCTTTTCTTGTGTAACAGAAATTCCTCTGAATCCTCAAAAATTGAAATGGACTCGACAAGAGACTCTACAAACCCCTTTGTTGGTCTGGCCTTTAAGCTGGAGGTACATTACTTTTCATTTGAAATACAGACGAGTTTGCTTGTAGCGTTTTGGTAAAAACAAAAATTTGCAAATGTCACTGAAATAACTCGAAACTAATCAAAAAAATAACAAGAAAACCTGAAACTCCGWTAATGAGAATCAGTTTTGCTTGTGGATTGTGGATCAAAAGTCAGCTTATTTTTACATTATTGTAGGGCACATGTGTCAAACACAAGGCCTGCGGGCCAAATGTGGCCCGCGGGTGACTCCTGTGTGGCCTGCCGGGGGGTGGGAGATGGGGGTTACCCCCCCACCCCCCAATTT